TCCGATATTGCTTTGAAAATTGAACTTGCATCATAAGATTATGTTCTCCAGTGTCTTGTTACATAGTTCTGTCTTTTTCTACTCCTCCCTCCCCAGAAGATTCCAAGGTGATATTTCTGTTATTTTTTCTGTGTTTGTTCATTTCCACACATTATACGAGGCATAACAGCACTAGCCTGTTCCGATATTGCTTTGAAACTTGAACTTGCATCATAAGATTATGTTCTTCATTGCCTTGTTACATAATTCTGTCTTTTTCTACTCCCTCTCTCGTCCCGTTTACTCTCAAACTTATCTTGGCATGGTCTATTTGGCAGATTTTACTTAAGTACTATAATTCTTCTCTGGGGAAAGGTGAACCCGCAAAGAAAATTGGTAGATTTGGAGCAGTTGCACGTATTTCAGGTGGTCTAAAAGCCAACTACGGTAGCACAGCTCCAAAGATCATGTTCTTCTCTGCCAGAGGGCCTGATCCAGAAGATAGTTTTCTTGATGATGCTGACATAATGAAACCCAATGTGGTAGCACCTGGAAATTTGATATGGGCTGCTTGGAGTTCTCGCGGCACTGATTCAGTTGAGTTCCAAGGTATAATGTTTTAAGCTAAAGAATTCCGTACCTTATCATATATATATATATATATATTTGATGTTTTTATAACTGCTAAGATATCCCTTTAATTTAAAGGTGAGAACTTTGCAATGATGTCTGGAACAAGCATGGCTGCTCCTCATATTGCTGGGCTTGCTGCACTGATTAAGCACAAGTTCCCCACTTTCAGTCCTTCAGCTATTGGATCTGCACTCTCGACAACTGCTTCTCTGTGTGATAATAATGGTGGGCCTATTATGGCTCAGCGTGCTTATGCCAACCCTGATCAAAATCAATCTCCTGCAACACCATTTGACATGGGTAGTGGTTTTGTAAATGCAACTGCAGCTCTAGACCCAGGTCTCATTTTTGACGCAAGTAAGTCAAACCGCTTTTAGTGTAAATTTTTGTTGAGAGGTTTTATCTTCTGTTGAGAATCTTATTCTGGTTATTATGGATTTGTCATTCTGCATATAACATTGTTTTCTTACCTGTGATGTCTAGGTTACATCTGTTTTGATATACGGTTCTAAGCATAATAATATTACCTTCTTGTTTCGTGGTTAAGCACACGGGAAATAGTCCCCGTTTTGAGTTTCAGTAACTAGGCTCTCGTTAATTTGTATTCCGTGCATTCAAGTTGCTGAAGTCCAAGAACATAACATGTCCATTGTGTTTAAGATTTGTGGTAATGCCATAGATTTGAACCAGATACTATATTCCTCCCTTACCCCTGTCCAGGGAAAGGAGAAAGAAGCAACCTAGGTAAATGAGAACCTATGGCCTGCGTAGAAGTTCTGCAATCATTTCGGTAAATGGCTTTTATGAATGGTAACAAGCCCTGAAATTTATTAAAGAAGCCTAATGGGATAACCTACTAGCTCTATCTAGGACAAGTAGTTATTTGTTCCATATTTTCCCTGCTGTGCTATTTATTCAACTTTCTTTCAGTGTGCTCCAACTCCCAGTTTTATCTATTTGTTGAGCACAAGACTCAAGATCCATTGGTCAATCCTTCGTTCACTGTTCATTTACAGAAATGTTCACTAGAGATGTTCATTCGGGTTGTTCAATCCTTTGTTCAGTGTTCATTTATGGAAATGTTTGCTCTAGATTTTTATTTGGGTGGCATTAAGGACCTAATCATTTTTCTCTCTCCCACTGGACCTGGACC